CTAAAGGTGTCCGCGCCTCTGTCTGTCCCCACGGAGACAACTTTAGACCTTTAAATCCGCTCTGAACACGTCGTCCGTCTGAGGCTCAGAGTTTATCGCTGTGATCTTATTTAACGGCTCAGATTCATAACCACATTTCTTTACTGTTTCTCATGTCATTTGTCCCTGCAAGAAATAAAGCGGCCTGACAAAGCGACGAAGCAAACAGGAAATGAGGCGATGAGGTTTTTTAGTTAGTCACAGCAGTAAATTATGGGATGTTCAAAGTGTTTTAAAGCTGTTCAGCTGGAGCAGCTGGAGTTAGCGTTGGTCTACCTGCCGGCACTAAACTACACACAGCAGTGAGTTTAACGACCTCATCGGTGCAGCTGTGAAAGCTCAGAGGAGCGACGGGCAGTGCCGACTGTGAAAGTCTGACATGATGAACACAGGTGGCTGCAGATGCTCTGCAGATGTTTTAGTAGGCTTCCATCTGCAGCGGCGTGCTGCAGCGGCGTGCTGCAGCGGCGTGCACTCCTTCACCTCATATGTTTTATGGAGCAAACGCCATAAAGGCGAAGAGAACCGCTCGAGCAGCCGCGGTCAGTCGTCCTATCAGCGGCTTCAGCCTGAGTTCACATCGCGCACTCTGACCTGTGATCTTTAGAGAGTCATGTGACTATTAATGGAAAAATGTTGGGACCTGCTGGAAGTCCTGCTCCTGCGCCAGGCAGTACACCACATCAGCTGCTTCCCCTCCTGCAGACATCCTGGTCCTGTTTCAGCCCCTGAAGCACTTTGCGCCTGCAGAGAGCTCGACGGTTCCTCTGTGAAGCTTCTGGAGAGACCAGAGGTCAGAAAGCTGTCTGCTGAGCCAACGCTCAGGGCTTGTGAATGCAGCTTCTGAAGCCACGCCCTCTGCCGAGGATGTCACCAGCAGAGGATCCATCAGCATCCAATCAGATGGTGGAGGTGGGAGATTTAAAGAGGTACCTGTGAGAGGAAACCTTCAGAGACCAAACAGTCACACCTGGTGGTGAAGTGCCAGCGCTGCAGTCACGGTGACGGGGCAGGTGTTTGGGAGCAGGGTCCTGGTTGGGTTTGCTGGTTTAGACGTGTAAATACTAATAAAATGAATAGAAAAACACAAGCGATCCCTCCATCTTTGT